ATCAAAGAATTATAAGGCATAGCTAGTGCCCACTAGAAGTTTCTAATATAATGAGGGAAACAAGTACAAAATAAAGTATAAAATGTTACAGAAGATTGATATCATTAAACAATTAAATGAATAGATGAATAAAAAAATAAAACAATGAAGTGCTTAACTGAATGCCACTGATTATACGTGTTTTAGGAGGTCGAGGACAGTAAAGATCAAGAGCCATGGAAAGGATTTCCTGGTCTAAAGAATGGACCTTCCAACAAACTAACACAGAAAATAATTTTACAATATTTACTTTAGAAAACGACCATATTTCTTCAGTTCTAAGACATCACCTTTTCACATTTTATTGATACTACAATAGGCATACTAGCTAGCATTCATTTGGACTTTGTACAAGGTACAAGTGCTTTATATGTGTTGACTTGTTAATATGGATCATTTCATTTATAATATGGAAATATTTCACCTCCTCCTTCCTGAAAAAGTGCTATTAAACCACTGGTACAAACGTAAACTCCATGGCTGTTTAGAATCCAGAAAGTATGATGTATGGAGGAATAAATAGTGCTTATAGATGAAAATGTATAAAAATACATTGACAAAACTTTCTAAGCTTCTTAGCCTTGATTGCTAGGCCCTTGCTAATGACTTTGTGAGGATCACCTGTAGCCCTGATACCCTTGAACAGTAGCTAATCTGTTGCATCAAAGGCCATACCAGCTTCAAAACTGGAAAGTCTGCTCATTCAAAATCCACCCCCACTCAGCAACCACAAACCTAGCTCTGCTTGTGGCTTTCACCTAGGCTGGGAAGGTGGCTCTGATTTATTTACAAATAGGGGATCAACTATCTAAACCATCAGTGTAAAGTCAAAATAGATGATTATGTTGGATTGGGTTTTGCAGGAGCAGTTTGTGAGACAGATTGGTAAATTACGATTGATTGTTTTTTAGGGTCACCACCTGGGGGGAATGAGGAGCAGCTGGATGTGCTATGAAGTTGTTGCATACTCCTTAGCTGATCCTAGGTGTGGGGGAGCTCCGAAATGAAGGTGTCCTGAATTGGGGTTGGGGCTGGACAAAGGCTCCCTGGCGCTCACTGGATGTGAGTACCCCCAGGGAGAGGCTGGACTCCCCAGCGTGGCCGTTACTCTTGGCTGAGGGCCCTTCCTGCGTTGTTGCTGTTGTTCACTCGCCAAGTCGTGTCCAGATCCTCTGTGACTCCGTGGATGGTAGCTCACCAGGCTCCTGTGTCCATGGGTTTTCCCAAGCAAGAATGCCGGAGCGGGTGGTAATTTCCTCTTCCAGGGGATCGACCTGGCTGAGGGGTCACACTTGTGCCTCCTGTGTAGTCAGATGCTTCACCATCTGAGCCACCAGGGAAGTCTAGATAGCCTTTATTCCTGATGCCATCGCTACTTTTTATAAGCACTGCAGTAGGTGGAGAAAGAGACCAGCTTCATCGCTTGTGTCATCCCCCTGATTATAGAAAACTTTCTCTGAGTGAATGCCCTTTAATGTACACAGATATCCTCACACATTGTGCCCACTCTTAAAAGAGCATCCATATACCTCTTCTCTAAACCTCCTTTCCCCAGTCCTTTTGCTCCCAAGTTATTGACCATTCAGGAAAACCATGAGCTATTGCCCATGGATGAGTGTAGGTCTATACTTCTGGCCATCTCTCAGTGTAGACAAAGCAGACACCCAATGTACTGCACCGTGGACATTCCTTGTGCTAAGATAATTTTCCTTCAGGACTACTGTCAGGGACATTCATCATGGCAGTTCTAATGCTAAAACAAACCACTTCAAGCTTCTGCCAGCATATGGAGGAGAACTGTTTGTAAACCAGTTAACTGGTTGAAGATGAGGAAGCAATATACCAGGAGTAACAGCCAAAGGAATCTGAGTCACTGGCTAAGGCAACTAGTGCTTTCCAGGCCTGCTCAAGCTGTCTCCTACATACCACTTCTATTAGATGAAGGATTGCTCTTGTGCATGCCCAACCTTATGGGCTGATGGCTCAGACAACAACTGGTTCATAATGGGCAGCTGAGGTTGCATAGTCATTTGATGTCTCATGGCCAGTCATTCAAATTCCCTAGCAAGATAGGTACAATTTCTCAAATGGAGAACTGTCATCTGCAGAAGAGGGCATGGCTTTGTTGTGAAGCTAAAGAAGGCTGTATTGTGGGTCTTCTATCAGAGTTGGCCTTTCCCTGGTATACAATGTAGAAAAAGAATACTCAGTAGTAGGACCTTAAGATCCGGAGGAACCAAATCCACAACTTTTAGGTATCATAGGATTCCTCTGGATCATAAGGTCCCATTAAGGAGTCTTCTTTTTCTACCTTGTATACCAGGGACATTGTTACCTCCATTTCATCAAATATATACTACCACTGAGTCTGAGTTACTTTAACCAATGAAGCAAACTGTTGGAGGCACTTTCAATTTATGAACTCACACAGTAAATCCAGACTTTATGGTAAATGCACCCATATCAGTAAATTTAGCTCAATCTTTTTGCTCTTTATTTTGCCTGGAACCTGACCAAGAACTGTTTGACCTTTCACAAAACCATGTCACCAATGACAACACCAGTGTTGATATGTGAGTTGCTAGTAAAACACATTCATATTGGATTGCATTTGTAATTTTCTCATTCAGATTGGTTCTACATACAAATAAGTGCAAGTATCTTATTATTGTGTCTTCTGATAGAGCTGTGCTATAGCATTTACTTATTGAAATACACATTAATTATAAATCACTTTCCTTTTATTTTCCTTATTATACAATTAGGGCATTATATTGATTTGGAGTGAAATTTGCCTCAGTAGGTAATATTACCTATGAATTTCATTTCGTAGTAATGAAAATGTTAAAAATACTAGTTATAAAAGAAGATTATGGGTCTGAAAGGGCTGAGAACTGCATGCCCCTCCTTTCAGGTTAGGTCCCAAGAACTTATGTGTAGACATGCCTGTGGTGAACCAAAGTGGATCTTGAGTACATCTGCCAAATCAAGTCATTTGTTATCTGAAAATCAGCTTTATTTAGGTAGAGAAGTCAGGGTCTTATTGTTACTTATTAATACAAAGCCATGAAGGATGATAATAGTAAATGGGCAAACCAACAACAGCACTGAAGAACTGCTCCACAGATGCAACAAAAGCAAACTGTTTTGTGTTTGAGTGAGGCCTTGGACAGAAATCTTTTTTGTCTCTGTGCATCACTGAGGACTGTGGAAGCCAGGAGAGTGCTTTCTTGGTCCCCTTGTCCATGTGATCTGAATCCCAAGTCCACGGTTAGATAACAAATGGGAGAATGCCAAGCAAATGCTATCACCCCTCCTCTCCGTTCTCAAATAGACTCTTGGGGAGGCTCTGAAAGTGGGGAGGTGGAGTCCACATTAGATTTGTGAATTAAGGGTAGATACTGTAGTTTTGGTTTGCTGTTCAATGTAGGTTCATTCCATGACATGCCAGGGGCCCGTGGGTCAGCCTGGGAGCAGCACCCCATCCACTTGCCCACTTAACTCTTCCTCTGGCAGAATCTCAACTCTGTCACTTTGTCAGGGAAACCCATCTTCACCTACTAGTCTGGCTTGATTCCTCAGTCATGGATTTCTTTACAAGTATTTTTTCCCCCTGTGAACCCTTATCTCAGTCGGTAGTTACATTCATTAGCGGTGATTATTTGTGTCAGACATCTCCTAAGACTAGGTATCTTGGATGTTTATGCTGCCCCTTTCATGTGTCTCTAGCCAGCATCTGGTACAAAGTCAGCACTCAGAACACAGTTGTTGAATGACTAAGAGTGCGCGCACGCTAAGTCGCTTCAGTCCTGTTTCCACTCTTGGCGACTCTATGGACTGTAGCCCACCAGGCTCCTCTGTCCATGGGGGTTCTCCAGGCAGCAGGAATCTGGAATGGGCTGCCATTTCCTTCTCCAGCAATGAACAAGACTTTGCTCCAAATTCCACAAGTATTAACACTTTGCTATGATTCCGTATATTACTGTTGTGTGTGTATGCTGTTTGACAGCTGGGTCTTCTGTCTATTGAAGAGCATGGTAATTGGATTTTGTAGAAATGAGTGAGTCAACTGGTGGAAACCCTCAAAAGCCCAATTAATGCAGCAGTTCAAGACCTTTTCTTCTCCTGTAACGCTGCTCCATCTCCTTCCTCCTCAAATCAAAACCCACTGTTTGAATTTAACGATGGGGTTCTGCGTGTCTAGCTGGGGGGCAGCTGGAGAACAAGGTGAAAGGGCCAGAGCCCCACGTCCCTACCCGCCAAGCGTTTCACAAAAACTAGCTAAGGAATGAGCCAGGGCCTCCCTGCATTAAACAAAGAGAGCGCCAGCCTAGCGGTCCCTGACCAGGTGGGATAATTTGAAGAGCTGGGAGGGTTCCGGACCAGGAAGAGGTTTAGAGGAAGGCGTGTGGTCCAATCCCCTGGTTTGAAATTGGCTACGAGTGAATGCAGCCTTTAAAGCCCCTCGAGTGTATCCACAGGGGGTGCTCACGAGGTCGTGCGTGCGCGCGGGGGGATGGTGAGACAGGGCGGGGGGGTCACGATCACTAACCCCCAACCCCTCCCCAGCCCGGGGGCCTCTAGCCGTGGACGCCCGGCGTGGGGGCTGCGCGGGCGGCCGGGGCCGGGTTCCGCTAGCCCGGGCGCAGTGTGCAGGTGCCGGAAGCAGGCGGCGGTCTGACCCCACCGCGGCGCGCCCGGTGCGGGAGCCGGCGAGCACCGCGAGCCGCGGGCTGCGAGGCGCGGCCGCGGGCGGCAGGAGGCAGCGTCGGCCCAGGCGGCGCGGCGGCGAGCGAGGCAGCGCGCGGTGATGTCAGTGGCGGCCCGGCTGGCAGCAGCCGGCACTTCCTGTATAAAGGCGGGCGGGCTCGGCTGCAAACCCCACTAGCCAGTGTCAGCCTCTCGGCGGGAGGAGGAGAAGGCGGCGGCGGAGGAGGGGCAGGGGGAGGGCTGTCAAATTCGGGAGCCAGATTTTTTTCCCTTCCCTTGGCAATCCCTTCCGCTTCCCCGGCTCCTGGCGTGACATCTGCGGGCCGGGGACCTGTATGTGTGTGCGCGCGAAGGAGCGGAAGAATGGCCGTGCTCAAACTCACCGACCAGGTAGGGGCGGCGGCGCCGGCGGGCGGGACGCGCGGGCGCAGGGCGGCGCGGGGCCCGGCGGGGGGATGGGGGCGCGGCGCGGAGCGCGCCCGCGAGCTGTTTACTCGCGGCGAAGGGGAGGAGTGTGTGCGGCCGCCGGCTGCTCCGAAAGCCGGCGGCTGCAGCCCTCCTCCCCGGCTCCGTCCCCGCCCTGGGCCGTCGGAACTGCGCGCTCGGCTCGGCGGCCGGGGCGCTCCGGGGGCTGGGGAAGGGGCGGCGGGGCTCTGGCTGGCCTGCGGGGGTGCGTTGTCCGCGGGCCCGGGCTGGGCAGGGGGAGGGGAGGCTCGGGGTGCTCCTCGGGCGCTGCGCAGCTTGGGCTCCGCCAGCCCGGGCGGGCCGGAGGGAGGCTGGTGCGCGCCGCCGGGAGGAGGAAGGTGGATGGAGAGGGAGAAGGACCGCAGCCTGGGACCCTTTTCCCAGCCAAGCTGGAGACCGGCCCAGACCGCGGCTCTCGTGTGGTCGGGCTGTCTTTATCCTTTTGACATGACACCCTGACTTCCTCTTTAGTAGCCCAGAGGCTGTGTGTGCGTGGTGCACGATGGGGATCTCTGGCACGGCTGTCCCTGGAGGAGGTGAAGTTCGGCCCGGGGTTCCACTCACAGACGGTGGGCTACCCTCTGCCTGTGTTCACGAGCTTTGTCGCTTTCCGGCTAAGCCGTAGCGCGGGATAGCTCTGGAGCCCTTTGCTTGGAGAGGTGGGGATGTTTGCTGGCTCGGTTGACAGCCCTCGCTGGAAGTCTGTGGCACGGGACACCTCTGCCTTTAGGGACGCTGCTGCTCTGAGGGCATGGGCACTCACAAGCGCCCAACCAAGCCGTATGACAAAAGTCTGCAACTCCTTCTACGAAAAAAGGAAACAGCCTGCTTTTATTTCTTTTCCCATTTATTCATGGATAGTGAAATGAACATTGTTTTGCGGTCCTGGTAGGCGGAGAGGCAGACTTGATTTTGACACAGGCGGTCAAACATGCCAGTCCTTGGTGTTTAAACATCTACTTCTCAAGTGGGTTGCATCTGGTGCCTCGCTCTTCTCAGTATCCAGCCAGAACTTCCTGAGACTTAAGTGCAATCAATCACCACATTAATTTGTTCTCCTGCCTTTAGAGTCAAAGTTTTGCTTTGCTTTCTATAAGTATTTACAGGCTTTTAAAATTTTCTTTTTATATGGGGGAGGGATCACTGAATTAAAATTAACTTATCCTTAAATTTAGCAGGAGGAGCAGCTGGTAGTGCTGAATCTACTTGTTTCCATTGGTTCCAGAGCATTTAAAAGTACTTGTAAGTTGATATTAGTTTAGCCCTCCCCCCAACGCCCCCCCTTTTAGTCACACACTTTGACAACTGTTAGACATTTGCTTGTTTTAAATCTTTCGATTTTAGTATGCCTTGGTCATGTTATCTTTGTCATTGCAAGTTACTATACTTCTCTGTTAATTTCTAAATACTCATCTTCAAAGTACACAAAATGCTTCTAATAGGTGTTGTCATTTTCACATATACAGAAGAATTTTGCATAGAACTTTAGAGCTGGAAGGGATGCCAAACGTAATCTTCACCCAAATCCTTATTTTTTTAACCAAGAGACTGAGGTCTAGATCAGGGAAGCATGTCTTCCTCAAGGACACAACTCTTGACTTGTAAGGCCGAGATGCACTCCTGTCTCCTGCCTTCCAGATTCCTGCCCTTTCTTCTAGGGAAGGTTAAGATACCTCCTTCTGTCTTGTCAACAGCTGTGTTGAAAGGCTGACAAGAAGGCATCCTCTGCTAAATCAGGATAACACTGCTGAAAACTATTTTTTGATGTTAGAAAATTATTCTCCAGGACTTATCCGAGTAGAACTTTCAAAGAGTTTCCCTTTTAAAGTGTTTTTGAATACATCCCCACCCTTTCCCCAACAAACCAGTCTCACTGTGGAGGGGTGTTTGATTCCATCTCCTGATGCATAACGGGAAACTAAGGAGTTCTAAATTCATGAACACCTAGAAGTTGACAGTCTGTGGGGCAAAGCCGGAGGGAGGAGGTGGACTGGGTGGGGTAGAGTGGTGAACAAGTATGGTTTCTGGGAGGCCTTAGGTCCAGGAAGTGTGTGGTCTTTCTTGCCTTATATAGTCTTACCTTTCAGTTTGAAACTCTAAATTCTTAGAAGCTGGTTCTTAACCTCATCAGAGGCTTAAAAACCCTTTGCTTAAACTCCTGCTCCAGGAGCCTTGCTTCACTCTTATGATAGGGAGCCCCTTGCTTCAAATCTGGACCTTAGAGTTTGTAGAAATGCCTCGCTCTTCACTCCGCTGTGTATTAAAACAACCACATGTTAATTCCCTCTCATTTGTTTAATGCCCTGTTTGCAAGCTGGATATTCTTTTTGTCAGAGTTCTTAGACTTTTAGCATGAAGACACATTCTTGTGTTAATAACCTGAATCGCTAGTTGTCTTGGCTTTTTTTGTTTTATTATTTAGGTCTTTGTTTTTGAGTTTTATAATTTGTTTAATTGACATAACATTGATTTATAATAGATAAGTTTCATGCATACATGAAAAAATTGACATTTCCTGTCCTGCTGAAACTGGGTGCAGGAGTTTGCTGGCGATGGTGGTCACCTCAGTGGTCAATCCCTCGCTGACATCTGTGTCATGCAAGATGATGAAAATGCCTTTTCCTAGCTCTGTTTTGGGAGAGTTAAAAGAAAGGAGGAAGGGAGAGGCAAGTGTGGGGTTTATTTTTTTTTTTTACTATGAAAAGGAACTAGGAGTTATTGCTGCAAATAGACTTGGCATTGAGCACTTCTGCATTTGTAACTGTGTCTCTTCTGTTTTCCCCTTCACACAATACACATCATTTTTCTTATAGTGTTAGGGGGACTGATCCTGGTTTGCCAAGACTGGGGGGTTTTCAAGGATATGGGACTTTTGATACTAAAACCAGGAAATTCTAGGCCAATCAGGACAAGCTGATCACCCTATACAGCACAGAACACACTCACCTATGTAATTAACATAACAAGGTAATTATTTCCTCATCGATGGATATTGGGATGTTTTATTTATCTCTTTGCAAAGTGAGATAATTTTAAGTTCGGGAAGAATTTCTTTACATCTAAATGTAATACATCTTAGTTAAAGATAGATGTGCAATTCCTTGCAATATTGAACTTTATGGGATGAGGGGGATGTTCTTTATGTCATATAGTGAAAGCATTGCAGTGATTTTAAGAATGTGGTCATATCTTCAACCTGGCCTGGTGCCCCCTCCCCAAAGTTTTTCAAAGTTCTGAAGCAGAATGGTAAGTTCTGTCGGACCTTTGAAATGTTCCCCATTCTTTCCTGAATTTGCTAGTGTCAGCAGAATGCCATCTCCTTCTCCAGGACTCTTGGCTGTAGGTGGCCCTTTTTGGAGCTTCCTGCCTGGAGGCCTTCTGGTTTGGTGTCCTCTTGCCAAGTCCTGGCTCACATTTTAGGCACCTCCTTGCCAAAGGCAATGGCTGGCAGCTGTGGCAGTGGCATGAAACTGGAAATCCTGCAACTTTGAAAGCAGCATTTCTAGCCCCTAGTGTGGAGCACATTACATATTTTACTGGGCTGCCCTTGTCCTCCCAGCAGCACTGGGCTTATAGCAAACTCTCTGTCCAGTCTGCCTTCAGCAGAGAAGGGAAAATAAAAGCTTCATTCTTTGGACCCTTCTCTGGTTGTTTTGAGATGCAGTCACGTGGTTTGGGGAGTGCACTTGAGGACTGGTGTTTAATGGCAGAGACCTAATAATGGCTTACATTATTGTGATCTTATTATATGCTGGGCCCTTGCCGTGAATCATCTATCTTAATCCTCACAGCCATACGAGGAGGTAGGTGGTGGTGATGAATAAAGAGGCTAATTGACCTGTTCGGGCTCACACCCCCAGAAAGTGATGGAGTGCAGTGTACTGCACAACAGTCTGATTGCACAGGTGGGGCTCTGACCACATGGCTGTTCTTCGGATAGTTGAAAGGGCAGTGTAGCCGAAGCCTGCTCTAATTTACCGGGAAACCATCAGGTGAGCCACAGTCCCACAGTCCTCCTAGCTCGGGGGCCAGGCCAAGGTATGGCCACGGCAGAGTCGGGAGCTGTTCTGAGATCTCTACTCCTGCTAGACTAGTGCCTGGCTTATCCTGTTTGCCTTTCACTTCCCTACCCTGGAGAATGATGTGTTGATTGGTGACTTGGTGATTTTTTTTTCTTGGTCATTAGCGAATGAACTATGATCATTGTAGAAAAATCAGAAAGCTAGATAACCAAAAAGAAAACCTGTTTAAATCATCTGAAGTCTCTATATCTGTATGCTCAGAGCTGCTCTTGACAGCTTGATATATTTCCTTCTAGTCTTTTGTCTGGGTAGCCAAGTAAGAATTTAAAATTTTCCACCTGATAATATCTTTCTCTTGAGCATAAAGCTTATACCTATGATGTTTAGACCAAGGGCTTTTCCAAATAAACTGAAATTTATGCCTGTCAATAAACAACTGGCTGCTTTAGTGTAAATACAACAGTGGTACACAAGGTCTAGCCCTGGATTGACTGAAACTTTTTTTAAGGTTTCAACTTTTACTTCCTCTTCTTCTCTAAACAGAGAGTAAATATAAACTCCAAAAAGGCACACTTGTTTGCGCCAGCAACAGGCCTGAAACATTTTTTAAAACGATTTCTGTGTCGTCAATATAATGTGAATTTTTATAGGTAAAAGTAGAACATGAAATAATTTAAAAATAGAGGCTACAGAGATCTGATAATCCTATGGTTTCCAAACTTGCATAAACTATGGTTCTCCTTTTTGTTTTATCCCAAGGAAAATTCCATATTGAAGCTCATTGTATAATAGAGGTTGGTGGGAGTAGTGGTGAGGCCCTTTCAAGGATTATTTGGGTTTAGTATTATTTGAAAACATCCTGTAAAACTGCTGGTGACTGGGTCAGTTTTCTTTTTTTCCCTGAAACACCATGTACTCAAAAAACGGATATGTGTTTATGGTTGACTAGGAGTTACATGGAACATGGATGGCCATATTATTTTGATTCAAACTGGGGTGCCTTTGAGAATTATATGGGGTACTATTAAATATTAGATTGAGGAAACAGGTGTGGCTGTCCTCAGCAAACCTGGACACATGGTTACACAACATAGACTGTGTTTGCTCACTTCAGACTTAACAGTGCTAGCGAGACTAGTCACTCTCTTTCCAGCCAGATTTACACTGAAGCAGTATAGTAAAGACTATTTTATGACCTTCTGTAAGGCCAGAGTTGGAAACTGGGTTTTTTCTCATGCATTAGCTCTGACCAGTTAGCTGGGAACGGGTGGATGTGGCGGGGAGGGGAGATTGCAGGAGGAATATGTCAGAAGCACTGTGGCTCTTGCAGCCGGAGGTGGGGAAATGTGATGGTTGATAATCAGTGTTTGCTGTGGACATAGGGTGAGGGGGAGGTGACATATTGTGGCTTGGCCAACCCTTGGCCAGTTGGATTAACGTGGGCCTGCTGCCGCTGCGAAGTCCTTCAGTCATGGCCGACTCTGAGCGACCCCATAGACAGCAGCCCACCAGGCTCCCCCGTCCCTGGGGTTCTCCAGGCAAGAACGCTGGAGTGGGTTGCTGTTTCCTTCTCCAGTGCATGAAGGTGAAAAGTGAGAATGAAGTCGCTCAGTCGTGTCCGACTCTTCGCGACCCCATGGACTGTGGCCCACCAGGCTCGTCCGTCCATGGGATGTTCCAGGCAAGAGTACTGGAGTGGGGTGCCATTGCCTTCTCCCTGTGGGCCTGAGGCTCCTCTTTATAAAATGAAGAGAGGGGACTGGCTGCCTCTCCAGTGCCCAGGCTCCACCCCCTTGCTGTGTGCCTTGCCCTCCATGGGTGGTGGTGGTGCTGGGTACAGTGGCCAAGGAGTGTGTGTGCAGATGAACTCTAATTGAGCTCTCCAGCTATCCAAGTCAAACAGTTAACATCCAGTTCCAAAGCCAATAATTTGGGAACTGATTCCTGCCCTGCTCCCCACTTTTATTTTATAGATAAGCCATGATTATCTAAGATTATTCATTTTATTTTATCGTTTATATTTATTATTCATTTCATAGATGATCAATTTTATTGACTGTTCCTTTACTATCCTTTGGCCAACATCATCTTCACCTTGTGCTCTGCCATCAGAAGTTAGGAGAGCAGGTATTTTGTTCAGTGTTCATGCTTCTAAGAGAGTTGGTAGCCCAAGTGGTTGAAATTAATGACTCACAACCACTAGTTTTTTAATGATCATATCAAAGCTTTTAACAGTTCTTTCACTTGTCTCTCCTTTTGAAAACTGTCTAGTAAATTGTCTAGTGCTCTATTAATTGGGCCAAGCAAAGAAAATAATCATGTAGTCCATCTTTGGGCCATTTTAAGCTCTACTAAGTCAATGTTTGCCTGTAATTCTTGGCTTTCATTTGTCTCTAATCCCCTCATTCGTACACCTGTGTAACTTTCTAAGGTATCTCTTGTTTTATTTATTTATTTGGCTGTTCTGGGTCTTTGCTGCTGTTGTGGCAAGTGAGGGCTACTTTAGGTGCAGTGTGTGGGCTTCTCATTGTAGTGGCTTCTTTTGTGGCAGAGCTTGGGCTCCAGGGCACAGGCCCAATAGTGGTGCATGTGGGATCTTCCTGGATCAGGGATCGAACCCATGTCTCCTGCAACATTTAATCACAGTTATAACCTGTTTCTAAAGATTTCTATGCTAAATTCTTTAATTTTGCTTTCATTTATTTTTAAAATACCTCTTGACTAGGAATACAAAGATCTGGATTCTACTCGTGGTTCTGTTCCTCATAGTTGTGTAGCTTTGGACAACTCCTGGCGTTAGTTTCTTTGTTACATGGGAGTGGGTGGGTGGGAGTCTTCTAAATTCTTCCAGCATTCCAACATTCTAAGAGAGCACCCCAGGTACTTCAGTATCAACCTCTTCTAAACTCAGGGAATCTGGTTTCAAAAAAGTATCTGCCTTCCATGAACTTCTGATTTTCCTTCTGGCACCCACCGTTCTGCCTGAGAATCAGGGGTACTTTCCCCTAAAATGCCATCTTCTAGGGCATATTCAGAATCCTTAGGGTTTTTCTCTGTGTGGCCTTTGAGACTCCTTGAGCCTCTTGGGGGCAAGGGGAGTAAACTTGTAGACCCCAGGTCTTTCTGTTGAGAGCTGTGGTGAGCTGGGGCCGCTGTAGTCTTCAGCAGAAGGGGCTGCTTTAGCAGACAGCTTGGATTCTCTTAATCCTGTTCTGTTGAACTCCACCATAACATGTGGGTCTAACAAGTCTGTTTCCCAGCCTTTGGCCCCACCCTGATACTGTGTGCAGTGGACCCAAAGACCACAGACTTTTACAAGGAGGGAATTCCTACATCCGATCAACATCCTTTGTATGGTAGGTATGCTCAGTCTGTGGAAGAAACTTGTTTTGGTATCTAAGAGTGGCAGAATGAAGAGAAAGATGGGAAGTGAACACAGGACAAGTGTTAGAACAGAAAGCCAGGCAGAAATTCAGGTCAATGAGACAAGTCTGCCAGCCAATTATTGTTAAAGAGTGGTCTCCAAGAGAGGGGGGGCACCTCCACTCCAAGGGTGAGTGGGATGTCTTATTGAGTTTGAGGAAGGAAATATTAGAATATTTCTTTAAAAAATCCTTAATTCAATTTTTTGGTATTTTTAACATATGTTGTTTTCTAGTACTACAAAACCCTCTTAGCTCTCGTTTCCACTTTTTGCCACCTTGGCCAGACTATCTCTTAGATTATTGCAGTAGCATTCTGACCAGTCTTCCCCATCCAGCCTTGGCCCCGGCCTCTATTCAGCATAGCTGTCGGCGGGCTGGATCTGCGGTCACGTAGCTTCTCTGTTCACAGCCCTCCAGGGTCAGCCAGGGTGAAAGCTGTTTCTGGAGTGTCCCCCGGGCCCTCCGCTCACCTGTGCCGCCGTGTGTCTGCTGGTCTGTCCCTGGCTGCAGCCGCCAGCTCCTCACCGTCCGGTGTGGAGTAGAGCTCTACTGAACACAGCCCTGAACATTCGGGCTCGCGGGTGAGCTGGGGGCCCTGTCCTGCGGGGCTCCAGAGCCCTCCCCAAGGCCACCCACTAGCCTTGGCCCAGGCCTTGAGGCAGCCGTGAAGCTCTCCCCGACCCCTGTCTCTGCACCTAACAGCAGCAGCTGTCTGCATAGGTTGCAGAATGTGGGACCCGCATTCCCCTACCCCGCTTTGGGTGGCCTGGGGAACCTGAGGGCCAGTCGTGTCCTGGGCGCCCGGCTTCATCAGTGATGATGACTGGGCAGGATCTGAGGACCTGGCCCTGAGATCTCTCTTCTCTTAGCCAGGACCTGGAACTCAAAGGGTGAAAGTTGAGCCTTGGGACTTTGTCCTTTCTTGTCAGAACAGAGAAGAATGATTGGTGAAGATTTACAGGAACATTGTTACCTGACCATGGCTTGACTTCAAGAGCAAAGGATCTGGTACCAAGAAGTTTGCAAGAACTAACCAGGCACCTCCCTCACCTTTCCTAGGAAGGAGCTTTACTGAAAGCTCTTGGGGAGTTTGGGGTTTTTTTTTCCCATTTATTTTTATTAGTTGGAGGCTAATTACTTTACAGTATTGTGGTGGTTTTTGCCATACATTGGCATGAATCAGCTTTGTTTGGGGTTTTTAAGGCGCGAGCCACCCGTGTCCTTGGCATGGGCCTGCAGTGAACTTCGCCCTGTTCCGAGCTCCGTGTTGGTCTTGTTTGACCTCACTGTGCTTTGGGCAGAGGTACAGGGTTTCAGCAACAATTGGTCATGCCAGGTGCACTCCTGCCTCAGGCCTGACTTCCTAAAGGCTAAACAGAATGAGCAACAGCAACAAAAATCTTTGCTCTGTTACTTACAAGCATTTAGAACAGTGTAATGCACAGTGACTGCTCAGTAACTATTTGAGTGAAATAAATATGTATGTATGTGTATATGTTTATATGTTCATGTTCAAAAGATTTTTACTCTTGAGGTACTCAAAAATTTCTGTAAGCAGAGCTTCTTGGGTTTCCATTCAAACAAAAGTCAGAGTAAATTTTTGGCTCCAGTTCAGTTCAGTCGCTCAGTCATGTCTGACTCTTTGCAACCCCATGGACTGCAGCACGCCAGGCTTCCCTGTCCATCACCAACTCCTGGAGCTTACTCAAACTCATGTCCATTGAGTCAGTGATGCCATCCAACCATCTCATCCTCTGTCGTCCCCTTCTCCTCCTGCCTTCAATCTTTCCCAGCATCAGGGTCTTTTCCAATGAGTCAGTTTTTCGCATCAGGTGGTTAAAGTATTGGAGTTTCAGCTTCAGCATCAGTCTTTCCAGTGAATATTCAGGACTGATTTCCCCCAGGATTGACTGGTTTGATCTCCTTGCAGTCCAAGGGACTCTCAAGAGTCTTCTCCAACACCACAGTTCAAAAGCATCAGGTTTTCAGCGCTCAGCTTTCTTTATAATCCAACTCTCACATTCATCCATCAGTTGGCCCCATCAGAAGATAAAATATCACTTTTGGTCTTTTTTTTTTTTTTTTTCTTGTTTCCCCTCTTTTTAAATTTGGATGGAGATAGGTTTACATTGTACTTAGTTCTGGGCAAGCTCCCTTTCTTCACAGGGAAAGTATCAGGGCGACACTCGGAAAAGGGACCCTAAATACTTTGGAACGGGACACCCACGCCCATGGCACAGTGCATCTCCCATGTATTCACACCACCAAGGCGTGTTTAGTGAACTCCATCTCCATGACAGTAACTCTGTTGGAGTCCTGTACTCCTCTTCTTTCCACAAAGGATAAGAACAGATAAGACTAGAAAGAATTGGTAATGAGGAGACAAGATAATACTCATGCTTTATGTGATTTGATCCTAATAACATCTCTATGAAAGACTGGCTGTTACCATGCTATTTTACAGATGATGAAGATGAGATCTGAGAGGTTAAGTAATTATGAGTCTGGGATTCAACACATCTGGGCAAGCTTGACTTCAAGTACACATTCTTAGTCGCTGTGCTTCTGGACTCCTGAAATAGGTATAGCATCACAAGAGACCCTTTTCCTCATGGAGCTCATGGTCTTGTTAGAGATGACGTTGAATGCCTTGTACATGGAAGGCCTTCCTCAAATATTTATTCAATACATGTGCACTATTGTTCTCAAAGCAGCTATAGTGTAGGTTTAGACTACATTTTGGGGGTACTAATTAGGGACTCCAGGAGTCCAGAGATGGGTAAAGGTTTCAGGGAGCTAGAGCGAGTCCAACTGGTCCTTGAAGAAAGAAATTATTTAGGCAGCAAGATGGTGGTGGAAGGCATCCCAGATGAATGACATACCATGTATTTGAGGACTGTGTATTTACTGAAGCACTGGGTTCATTCTAGTAATGCAGAAGAACTAAAGGAAGAAATAGTTAATGTGCAAACTTGGTAGGAGAGGTGTATGTATATTATTAATAATGAATCTTTCTCACTTGAATTCTCCTGATAGGTACTGTGTGTCCTCTCTTGGAGACCTAAATGAGTTTGCATTTGGAAAGAGCTCATTATTTCCATTTGTTGCTTAGGCATAATCTTTTAAAAACTAACTCGTACCCCAGATTGTTTGAAAAGTATTATAGCATAACGTAAGGTGTTAGCAATGGGTCTTCTGTCTCCATGACACCCTCTAGTACTTAAATAGAATGTTGCATATATTACTTGTCATGGCAACATTTTTTGGACAAACATGTATCCTGGAGTAGCACAGAGCTCATTGAAAGAGACTGGATAGTCTTGATGGTGTGGGACATTGATGGAATAATGTAGTAGGTGTAGAGATGGCCTGTTTTTAACCCAACACATTAAAAAAAAATTATTTGTCGTGCTGGGTTTTTGTTGCTGCGTGGGCTTTTCTCTAGCTGTGGCGAGCAGGGGTCACTCTAGTGCCGTGGACGGGATTCTCACTGTTGGCTTCTCTTGTTAGGAGCACGGGCTCTGGGGCACTCGGGCCTCAGTCATTTGGCTCCGGCTCTAGAGCGCAGGCTCAGTAGTTGTGGCGTGTGGGCTGAGCTGCTCCGTGGCATGTGGGATTTTCCCAGACTGGGTATCAAGTCTGTGTCTCCAGCATTTGAAGGTGAATTCTTTACCACTGAGCCACCAGGGAAGCCTTAATAAGTTAAAAAATTAATTAAAAAATGCTGACTATGGGGATTCTACAATATAAGACCTCATTTCTTTTTTAAAAAAATGCAAGAAAAGAGAAAGATGGAGGGGAAATATATAGATTAAATGAGAATTAAGACTAATTGGATTCTGATGTAAAGTAACATACTTCTAAGAGATGGTTGGAGAAATTTGGATCCTGACTGGCTCTTTGATGACTTAAAGTATGAACATGGTATTGTGGTTATGTTTAAAAAGAAGATCCTTATCATAGAAAACAAGAAATCCCCCACAAACCCTTAGTATTTGACCAGGACACTTAAGAAATTTTAGTGACTTACTCTTTCTGGAAATGGTTTCTCTTTCTTTTTACTTCTTCCTGCTCCTTTTGTGCCCCTTCTGAGCCCTTCACTCTCACTTGATGGAATATCTTCAGTTGAATTTTTAGAATCCTTTTGATTGTCAGAAACGCACACAATTCTGCTAGTTTTGTTGACTAAAGCGGTATGCTTCTGAGTTAGTGGTGAGGTTCACCCCACCTGTTGACTTAGTCAAAGTGGCCCGCATGACTCCAGTTAGATATTTGAGTCTCTGCCTTAAAGTCACAGGAAGACCTGGCTTTGTTTTTCTGAACTCTTTCAGGGTAAGGTTTTTCCAGGGCAGTTTAGGTACTAGAGTTGCCAAGAAATAATTTTGTTACGTTAACATTTTAACCTAATTTCTATATAATTCTGGTGGTTTTTTTAAGACAGCAAGCAGTTATAGGTCTCAATTTTAATGACCCTGCTGTCCCCACCCTCCCTGCAGCTTCCCTTCTTACCTGAACAGGAAATGGGTGTTGCTCCTTGCTCCAGGGATTTCAGTGTTTCTTTAGGCGTGCTGAAATATCTTCATTTATTTCTGCGAGTGTGAAAATCTTTCCCTATCCTTCTTAATGGAGTCCAGATGTCAGAGTAGACTATAAATGAGAAATGGCCAACTACAACTTGAATAAATGATACTGTCATGAAGTCATTTAGAAGCCAAGTGAATAGGGATTTAGGTGCCTAGGAGCCTCAGTACAATTATGTCTTGGGGCCCATGAGGTGCATGTAACGTTTAACTGCTAATGCTCCTTTTCTTAGCAGTCAAGAAGGAATAATCTTGTTTTCAGGAGCTCTGTTCTTTAACAAAGAGTCTTATGTCAAGGTTCTAGGGTACTCTATTTCTGTGTTTATAATGTTTTAAAGTATTGTGACATCACAATGAGCAATTTCCAAAAATATTACATGGGAGTGGCATAGTTAAAAGGATCCTTAAATTGATACCTGGAAATCTGGGCTATGAGAACATCTCTGCTCCTAACTAGCTGTATCAGTCTTGCCATGACACCACTTTCCTTGATAAAATAGGTGTAATAAATACTTGATGGGAAAACTGTGATAATCAAGTGAGAAAAGCCTTTGTCCAGAAAGTGGCTCATGGTAGGCACTCAATATTCTTTGGTCTCTAGTTGGTTCTTCCTCTGTCAGATTGAAGAGACTAGCTTTCTAGGGTCAATTTCAGCTCTTTAATTTCAATTAAAATATGATTTTGATTATAATTTAAGTTTATGCCCATTTATCTGGTCAGCTTTCTCTGTAACTTAAACAATATTAGTAGGAAGTGTTTTATTATCGTGAAATCTCCATCCAGAGGTTTGAATTGTAGCATTTTGGTCCTTCTTTTTTCTTTCATTTAAACACATCTATTCACTTAATTTAACTGAAGAATCTTATGTTTAGATAGGAGAATAACTGTGCATTGAAAAAATTCTGAGATGTTTGCAGTCATTCTTGATTTAAGTTGTCAAAAAGAACTGAAAATTACTTATAAGAATGCCACTTCCTCTTCACAGAAGTATATAACGGTGTCTTTTCTGAGGAAGTGTGTAAGAACAAAATAGTTGATAGAGCAATCTTTGTAAAATATCATCATGATGGAATTTCTAAAAAACACTAGTAACACTGGTATAAAACTTCAAGCCTTGAATGAATAGGATAGAAAACCCTAAATTTCTCTGAAAAAAAAAAAAATGTGATTAAAAGAGTCAGATGATAGATCCTTTGTAAACAGTCACTTTACTTTGGAGTCTTTTTTTCTCTTAAAACTACAGAATGCTATTTAGAAAGGAGGTAAGTTAAGCATCATTGGATGCATGTGTGTATTTTAATTTTAAAGTGTATTTCAGTTGAATTTATACCCAGTGAAAGTGTAGGGCAAAATACAAAGAGTGAAGGGAAAATGAAAATAAGAATTGGTACACTCCCTTCTCCAGGGGTTTGAACCCAGGTCTCCTGCCTTGCAGGTGGATTCTTTACCATTTGAGCCACCAGAGAAGCCCCACCAAAAAAAGAAAAAAGAGAAGCTTAAATAAAGAAAATATTAATAGGAAGAGACACACATATTTTAAAAAAGAGGGAAGGAGGTAGGAACGAGAGGGAGCTTGACCATGTTGCTTTCTGAGGTGACTGTTGGACATGCTGTTGAATGTAGGCTGAAGTTGGCCGTCCCTTCTCTACTCTGTTCTTTAAAATAATTTTTAACACTGATCTCTGCCCTTCAGCTACATTGACCTTTTTTCTTGGAGTTCTAGGATCAGAATAACCAAAGTGGAAGTTGTTATTTTGGTTGCAGAAGAAATGAGCAGGGCTATGTACCCAGAAGACCGGAGTCAGGCTGATGGGTATCTGGCTCATCTTTGGGTCCTCACTGCTGATACAGAACCCTCAGAATCAGTAAGCTGCTGCTGCTGCAAAGTCGCTTCAGTCGTGGCCGACTCTGTGCGACCCCATAGACGGCAGCCCACCAGGCTCCCCCGTCCCTGGGATTCTCCAGGCAAGAACCCTGGAGTGGGTTGCCATTTCCTTCTCCAGTGCATGAAAGTGAAAAGTGAAAGTGAAGTCGCTCAGTCGTGTCCGACTCTTAGCGACCCCATGGACTGCAGCCCACCAGGTTCCTCTGTCCATGGGCTTCTCCGGGCAAGAGGACTGGAGTGGGGTACCATTGCCTTCTCCCAGAATCAGTGTAGTGGGCAGGCAGCTAATAAACTGTTTTACACAGTGGGTGGGCAGGTACTGAAGACTCCTGTTACTGGTGACTAGTCTGCTGTGACATCTCTGGTGTTGAACACCCACTGCCTGTCCATTTGAGTTGAACTCAAGACGGGCGTATCTTCATCACTTCTTTACCTTTTCAATTAGCCTTTCCTGAGATCTAATTCTCACCTCCATTTCTGCTGTGAATTTGCTGGGAGATCCTGGTGGTCATCACACCTCTCTGGGCCTCGGTTTCCTTTACGTGCTAAGGACGTTGACTAAGATGAGCTGACCCCCCATCCAGTCTTCTGTGACATTGACTCAGAGGCTGGCAGGCCACTCACTGTGTGCAGGCCAGGTTCAGCCTACCGCCTACATGGCCTGTGAGAAGAGGTTTTACATTTTTAAGTGGTTGAAAGAGATCAAAGAGTCATATTTTGACGCATGTGAAAAGTATATGACATTCACATTTCAGAGTCCATAAATAAAACAGAATCTAGCCTCCCTCATTTGTTTATGTACTGTCTGTGGGGTGCTTTCAGGCCTTGAGAGGGCAGTCCTCGTGACAGAACCTATATGACCTGCAGTGTTGAAAATATTTACTCACTCTTTGCAGAAAGTCTGCCAACCCTTGCTCTAACACAAGCACACGCTTGGAAACGTACTCTTCAGAAATTGAGGGCTGCCCTCTTACAGCCTTGGTATTACCTAAACTGAACTTTAATTTAGATTTAATTAGATTAAGATGGGGGAGTCTTGCCTTTATTATTTTTTTCCAGGAGAAAGCAGAAGCTTAGTTAGCTTTTTTCGTATGCTTTTAATTAAAAAAAAAAAAAATCCTCTTTAAACAGTTTGTTTGTACTCAGGCTTTTTTTCCCTCCCTCTAGGAATCACTGTAGAAAAGGAAGTCATGTGTTTATATTTTAAATCATTTGCCTTTTAAACTGGATTTTTAAACTCCAGATGTGGACTCTGAAACAGTTAAAATATACTTTTGATGCTCTAAGAGAGCCAAGACAGGGGAAGAGAAGTTTACCGCTTATTTTTAAGAGCGAAACAGAAATCTTAATATTATTTCCCATTGTGTGCTAAAAATAATATCTTTAGTTTCTTTGAGTAGGGACTCCAGATTAATGTGGGCATGAAAATGGTTTTAGTTTTACACACAGCCAGTTTAAACAGTTAAGTAATTTAAAGGGTATAGTTAACTATTACAAATGGAAATGATAAAATTAAGAAAAATATCAATTATATCTACTTATCTAATATTTCTCACTCTTCTGGAGAGTTCTCTCTGAAGCTAAGTCTGATAGTTTCTGTGTGCGTCATGAGTTTGGGTGAGTGTGTATGTTTTTGTGTGGTTTCCAGTGTTCATGTCATTGTACTTGTAAAGAGAATTTACATTCTATTCTTGCACTTCCAGAGTCATTTGAGTTACTCTAAAACTCTTCCTATGCCAGTTCTCGTTGATCTTGGGAGAAGATGGGCACCTTGAACTGGTTAATGAGGAGCAGAAGGGTGGTCAGTCAACACACGTCATCTTTTTTTAAAAATTAATTTATTTTAACTGGAGGGTAATCACACTATTGTGGTTTTTCATACAAAAGTTAACTTCATTTTTCTCTTCTGAGCCTACAGAGAGAAAGAATTAAGACTGTAGGATTTGTTTAGGAAGATTTGTGGAGAAATTCTTGTAGTGTATAACTTTAGAAAACACTGATAGAGACTTTGTACCTCAAGGACTTCCACCGTTTTCTGAACAGTATTAATAAAGCGTGTGGAGGAGGCAAGTGAACTCTGGGATCCTCATATTTCAGAGGGAGAAACAGAGGCCACTGGATGTTGCTTGGCTTACTGACTCTCAGTCGGGGTGGACCTCTTGTTTCTCCTCCAGCTCAGTCTGAGGTGCATTTCGTTTGCCTATCCTGTTCTTAAACAGCACTTGTAAAAACATGTGTCACTTCTACAGTTATATTTAGGATACAGCTTGAAACACTGTGTAAACACCCCAGGATAGAGTACTGAAGTCTGCCGCCTGATAATTATTATGTGGTTCTAGAGTCATGTCATCTGTACTATCCAGATCAGAACTGTTACCACCCACTTCTAAGCTGGTCTACAAGAGTGAGCCCATTGTGTACAGGGCCGAAAGAATACTGCCTGCTGTTCAACTTTGGGTGAAGAGCTGCGATACCCTGAAGGCCATGGAAATCCATTCTTGTTTGAAGACACTTGTGACTGGGAAAAGTGCTGAAATACGAAGGCTTTCCCTTGCCCTCACCCCCAGAATACCTCCACAGCGTTCTTTGTTTTCTGAATTTCATGGGGAGTATCTGAAAATGCCATCTGAAGAAAATGTTTTTCACGGAACTGCCTAATCTTCAGACATGTCTAAATACAGATGTATTTAATGAGCACTTTCATTTTCCTTCTTACATGGACTCGGCAAGTTTCGTGGTGGTTGAGCCTCTCACTTCTGGTTTTAAGCCATTTTTAGCTCCTTGATTGGTGTGGGGCTTGGGAAGGTGGAAGCTAAGCCATTTATTTGCTCTTCACTTCTAGGGGAAAGTGTTTGTACCTCCCACTTTTTAGCGTGTGGGGCTCTGGTGAACCCGATAGTAGGTTATCAGCAACTACTAATTGAATGAATGAATGAATGATCCAGCGCCAGTTTCTGCTGCTGCGTTTTCTCCTGCCCCACCATCCTTCCTGGTTCCTTCCTCCTTTCTTTCCTTTTTCCGAAATCATTAAAGTGAAGCCAGAAAGGATAGGACATGATTAATATTTTGTTATATAAATAGCCCTAGTAAAAGGATTGGTGGTGGAAAATGCTGCCAAAGTGCTTTAGTGGATGTTTTCCCCTTGATTCCCTGTTAAATAAGAATAATCAGGAGTTGTGTGACTGATAGCCCATTCTGTCATGATGTGAGCAGATCTGAAATAGCCTCCCCCTAGTCCCTACCCCCAGTCACGGAAATAGTACAGGAGGAAATGTTTGGTTATCATTTTTTTTTTTTTTTTAATGTTTGCAAGATTTTAGATGGGCTTTAACTGCAATAGCTCTTTAAAGACTTGCACAGGAAGTCACTCTTAATGTGGGTGTTTGATTTGAAGTATCGAACTTACTCAGGCCCAAAAGAGGCAGAATATGATTTCTACCAGTGATCCTGCGGGGACCAAAGGGAGGGCCAAGCTGGGTCATCTGATGATGCTTAAGAACAGCTCTGCGACGTTCTTTATCCTCAACTCTCACCTCTGAAAGATGTTTATAACTGTGTTTTCCCTTGCACATTTTTTAGGTTTTCATTATAAAGTTAGAAAGCTACAAAGGATGTGATTCCGAGTATAATGTAAATATTGACTTTTAAAATAAAGTCATTACTGTTTAAAATGTAAAGAAGGGAATTTAAACACTGTTGTGACTTGATATACTCCATCATCACTTAAAAACACAGGAACAAGCACTTTAATGTTAGGAACTTTTTACATTGTTCCTTTTCCTCCTTGAATTCATACTTCCATTCTACTTTCTCACACAGAATTTTATCAAATGTAATGTGTCAAAAAAAAGCCCTCTGATTATCCAGTGATACTTTGCAATAAAAATATGATCCTACGGTGGTAAGAATTAAATAGATTTCTGGATTGAGCTTATATATATGAACAATTTGTCAAAACATGAACATATTATAAAGTTTGATAAATTATTAGCAAAATATGTGAAGTCACACATTCTTATTTGAAATGCCTTTCTTAATCCCTGGATGAGGCTTGCTTTCTTGTTTGAAGTTAATTCACGTTTGTGGAGAACGTAATTGCTGGGATGGTATGGGGTATTCTCCAGCGAATACTCTCTTGACCTGCAGTATTTTGAATGTGCCCTTTTGTTGGCACCAGCAAGTTTAACACCTTGCAGGCAGTTCCCTCAGTCAGAATCAGAATGTGTGAGGGGTAAGTCTGCTTTTGTCATGTGGGAGAAGAAAGATCCTCAAGAGAGATGTGTGAAGAAGCAGTGAAAAGCAGAAAAAAAGCACACTCCTGAACCACAGTTCAGTTCAGTTCAGTCGCTCAGTCATGTCTGACTTTGTGACCCCATGGACTGCAGCACGCCTGGCTTCCCTGTCCTTCACCAACTCCCGGAGCCTGCTCAAACTCATGTCCATAGAGTCGGTGATGCCATCCAACCATCTCATCTTCTGTCATTCCCTTCTCCTGCTGCCTTCAATCTTTCCCAGCATCAGGGTTTTTTCTGATGAGTCAGTTCTTCACATCAGGTGGCCAAAGTATTGGAGTTTCAGCTTCAGCATTAGTCCTTCCA